GACTGGATAGCATACTTTGTATGATTTCAATTCTTTCAAGTTTATTGAGACTTGCTTTATGTCCCAGAACATGATCTATGCTTGAGAATGTTCCATGTATTCTTGAGGAGAATGTGCATTCTGCTGTCACTGGGTGATATTCTATAGATACTGGTTAGGTTGTGTTGGTTGACAGTGTTCTTTTTTGTATTCTTGGTGATTTGCCTAATTATGCTGTTGAGAGTGGGGTATTGAAATCTACATCTATTATTGAATTGTTTATCCTTTCAATTAAAATTTTAAAATATTTAATTGTGATCAAAAATAAAAGTTACCATCTTAAAAATAGCTTCACAATGTTGTGCAACAGATGTCTAGAACTTTTATATGTGTGTGTGCTTGTTATAAATCCAACATCCATAAATCCATCCAACAGTGTCATAACTACTGCTTTCTGCAATCTTATGTCTTTTAAAATTAGGGAAATTTTTTAGAGAAATGCAGTTATTTATGTTATCCACATAGTTACCTTTTCTGGTGCTTTTCATTTCTTTGATTGAAGTAACTGTCTGATGTTATTTCCTTTCAGCATAAGTTATTTCTTTTTGTGCTTTTTTAAAGGAAGGTCTGCTAGCAATAAATTATCTCAGTCATTGTTTGTTTGAGAATGTCTCCATATTACTTTTCAGGTTTGAAGAATAGTTTTAGTGGATACAGAATACTTAGTTGACAGTTTTTTCCTTCAGGATTTTGAATATGTGACTCCACTGACTTCTGGTTTCTGTTGAAAAGCCTGTCTTTAACTATATTGGTGTTTTTCTATAGGTAATGAGTTGTTTTTCTCTTGTTACTTTCAAGATTTTCTCTTTTTATTCATTAGTTTTACTGTGATGTGTTTAGGGTGGATCTCTGTGTTTATTCTACTTATGGTTCATTGAGCTTCTAGAATATAGCATTTTTCATCAAATTTGAAACATTTTGGTCATTATTTCTTTATTATCGTCTTCAGCCCCCATCTCTCTTTCTTATCCTCCTGAGGTTCTCATTATACATATATTAAAATTATTTTATGTTGTCTCACATGTCTCCAGAAGCAGAAGCAGAAGATATTAAGAAGAGGTGGCAAGAATACACCAAAGAACTATACAAAAAAGATCTTAATGAGCCAGATAACCACGATGGTGTGATCACTCACCTAGAGCCAGACATCCTGGAGTGTGAAGTCAAGTGGACCTTAGGAAGCATCACTACAAACAAAGCTAGTGGAGGTGATGGAATTCCAGCTGAGCTATTTCAAATCCTAAAAGATGATGCTGTAAAAGTGTTGCACTCAATAGAGAAGCAAATTTGGAAAACTCAGCAAGAGCCACAGATTGGAAAAGGTCATTTTCATTCCATTCCCAAAAAGGACAATGTCTAAGAATGTTCAAACTACAACTCAATTGCACTCATCTCACATGCTAGCAAAGTAATGCTCAAAATTCTCCACATGAGGCTTCAACAGTATGTGAACCGAGAACTTCCAGATGTTCAAACTGGATTTAGAAAAGGCAGAGGAACCAGAGATCAAATTGCCAACATCCATTTGATCATAGAAAAAGCAAGAGAATTCCAGAAAAATATCTTCTACTGCTTTATTGACTATGCCAAAGCCTTTGACTTTGTGGATCACAACAAACTGTGTATAATTCTTCAAAAGATGGGAATATCAGACCACCTTACCCACCTCCTGAGAAATCTATATGCAGGTCAAGAAGCAACATTTAGAACTGGACATGGAACAATGGACTGGTTACAAATTGAGAAAGGAGTATGTCAAGGCTGTATTTGTCACCCTGCTTATTTAACTTATATGCAGAGTACCCCATGCGAAATGCCAGATAGGATGAAGCATAGTTGGAATCAAGATTGCAGGGAGAAATATCAATGACTTCAGATATGCAGATGACACCACCCTTATGGCAGAAAGTGAAGAGGAACTAAAGAGATTCTGGATGAAAGTGAAAGAGGAAAGTGAAAAAGCTGACTTAAAATTCAACATTCAAAAAATGAAGATCATGGTCTCCAGTTCCATGACTTCATGGTAAATAGATGGGCAAACAGTGGAAGCAGTGAGAGACTTTATTTTCTTGGGCTCCAAAATCACTGCAGATGGTGACTGCAGCCATGAAATAAAAAGATGCCTGCTCCTTGGAAGAAAAGCTATGATAAACCTAGTGAAGTCGTTCAGTCGTGTCGGACTCTTTGCCACCACATGGATTGTAGCCTGCCAGGCTCCTCCATCCATGGGACTTTCCAGGCAAGAGTACTGGAGTGGGTTGCCATTTCCTTCTCCAGGGGATCTTCCCAACCCAGGGATTGAACCTGGGTCTCCCGCACTGCAGGAAGATTCTTTACCCTCTGAGCCACCAGGGAAGCCATGACAAACCCAGATAGCTTATTAAAAAGCTGAGACATTACTTTGACAACAAAGGTTCGTCTAGTCAAAGTTTTTCCAGTAGTCGTGTATGGATATGAGAGTTGGACCATAAAAGAAAGCTGAGTGCTGAAGAATTGATGGTTTTGAACTGTGGTGTTGGAGAAGACTCTTGAGAGTCCCTTGGACTGCAAGGAGATCCAACCAGTCCATCCTAAAGGAAATCAGCCCTGGGTGTTCATTGGAAGGACTGATGCTCAAGCTGAAACTCCAATACTTTGGCCACCTGATGGGAAGAACTGACTGATTAGAAAAGACCCTGATGCTGGAAAAGATTGAAGGCAGGAGGAGAAGAGGACAACAGAGGATGAGATGGTTGGATGGCACCACCGACTCAATGGACATGGGTTTGGGTGGCCTCTGGGACTTGGTGATGGACACGGAAGCCTGGTGTGCTGCAGTCCATGGGGTTGCAAAGAGTCGGACATGACTGAGTGACTGAACTGAACATGTCTGAAGGTGCTGTCATTATTATTCATTCTTTCCCCTCCCTTTTTTTCCAGATTAGAAAATTCTATTGATCTGTCTTCAAATTTGTCGATCCTTTCTTATCCCCATGTCACATCTGGTATTCAGTCCCTCTTATGAATCTTTCTTCAGTTAGTTGTACCTTTTGAGTCCAAAGTTTTCATTTGTTTCTTTTAAAAATAATTTCTACCTTTGCTGATATTCTGTTTATTGAGTCATTGTTCCATTTTCTTTTAACTTTCTGTATTTTCTTTTTTCAAATTTATTATTTACTTATTTGGCTGTGCAGGGTCTCAGTTGCATCATTCAAACTCTTAGCTGTGTGTGGGATCTAGTTCCCTGATCAAGGATTGACCCTGGGCCCCCTGCAATGGAAGTGTGACGTTTTAGCCACTGGGCCACTGGAGAAGCTCCTTTTATTTTTTTTTTTTATTTTTGAAAGATGGCTTCCTTTCGTTTTTTGAACATGTTTATCACAGCTGCTCTGGTGTCTTTTGTCTGCTAATTCCAACACTGGACTTCCTTAGGCAAAATTTCTGCTGACTGCTTTTCCCCTCCTTTCCTTAGTTAACATGTCTCACTCACACTTTTCTGTTTCTTTGCAGACCTTATACCTTCTTTTGAAAACTGAATAATTTAAGATTATATAGTGTAGCAACTCTGGATTCTGATCTCTTTTCCTCCAAGGGCTGTTGTTACGGCTGTTTGGTTGTTGTTTGGTAACTTGCATTGCTCTTATCTGAAGGGCAGTAGTTTTCCATGTACAACTGCTTCTCACTTTGGTGTGTTGCATTGGCTGATTTCTAGATCTCTGAAATGGGTTTTGAAATTGCTCCTTGCTCTGCTATATCAGGATGTCCTGATAGCACTGACTTTTAAGGACTCAGAGTTAGAGATGCAGTCATGGGACCGAGTGGAGGACATTTGCAAGAACAAACCTAGTGAGCTCCTAAATTTGCAAATTCTGCCCCTGTGAGAAAAGAGAGAGGACACTGAGAATGGAGAGGGAAGACCCTGAGAAAGGGTGGAGGAATGAGAACCCCCATCCATCCGTCCATCCATCCATCCGTCAGTCCATCCATTCAGTCATCCTTTTATTTATCAGACCTTTATTAGGTGCTCATTCCGTCTCAGGCACTGTGCTAATTGCCCAGAGAACAAAAACAGCTAAGATCAGGTTCTTGCTCTCAAGTAAAGCACATCATAGAAGAAAGCCTTGCTGATGACCCGTGTGCCAGCAGGCGCTCTGAGACTGCACAGAAGCCGGGCAGCAGGGGCAGGTGGGAGTGAGAGCTCAGCTCTGTGGGTTGTCCTCTGACTCTCCCCTCTGCTCCTCTCCCCAAAAACTTCAGGCTGTACCCCGAGATGGTGGCAGCCTCTCTCTCCTCCAAGGCGGAGCCCGCTTAGCTTTGAGGGGAACTGTCTTCCCTGCTTCATATCACCAAACTCTAGACAGCAGTTCTTTATCTTCCACTGAGAACTGTTTCATGCTCTGGCATAGCGAAGTGTCTGCAGACAGAGATAAGCTGTGTTTTCACATTTTTGTCTACAAAATTAATGATCTACAACTACAATAAAACCATCATCTCCTGTCACCATGGGGATCATAGGGCATTCTGAACTTGAAAAATAACAACACAAACCCTCAGTGGCAAAAAGTGCAGATGTTTTTATTTTTCCTTCCGCAGCATGTGTGTTTGTTAGAAACATGGAATCAGAAAACGCTATTGTTGGAATGCTCCTAGAAAAGGGTTCTCTAGCCTGAAGCCTTTGTTTTACCGGTGGGAGATGGGCCATGTGTTCACGGAGGGTTGATCAGTGGCTCTGTCGAGGCAAGATTTAGAATCTCCCCTGTCACCTTGTTTTCTGTTCTTCAACAGTGAGTCTCAGTTCTCTGCTTGAGCAGGAAGGCCGCAGCCGGGTTTGAAAATCTGGCTCCTGGAAAGTGCCCCAGCCTCGTGTCTTCTGCTACCTCGTCTTCACTTGCTGAGCACAGACTCTAACCCTGGCTCAGGACTCAGCTTCAGGCTAACCCCTTATGTCTCTTTTCAGGCTCGGGAAGCTTTGAGGCGGTAAGATGCCATGGTTCAGAGCAGGCCGACCCTTGGTAGGTAGGCACCTGCGTGGTTGCAGGAGTTATTAGAACACTAAAATGTTCACATTCCAGTGGTAAACAGCCGCTGCCTGATCTCTGCAGACACCCTTCTCCTCTCCCCGCTCCTCCCAGCTCCATAGCCCAGATTACCCAGTAAGCCAGCAGCAGAAGGGTTAATTGTGGCCAGCGGGGGCCCCCCAGGACCCAGCTCTAACCCTAAGGCTTGTATCTACTCTGCTATCCTACTGCTTGTTAGCTAGTTTGCCTATCAGCCCTGGTTAAGAGCACGGGCTCTGGAGTCTATGTGAGGTGAGTTTATTTAAGTTTATTTGAGGTGAGGCCCTGTTTTCTCTCTGGTTCTGTGACAATGGCAGGCAGGCTGTTTAAGCCTTGACCTTTAAGCCTTAAAGCCTTGGGCCTTCCCTGGTGGTCTAGTGGTTAAGAATCTGCCTGCCAATGCAGGGGACACGAGTTTGATCCCTGATCGGTGAGGATCCTGTATGCCATGGGGCAGCCAAGCCCATGTGCCACAACTACTGAGCCCTTGCACATGCCTAGATTCTGTGATCTGCCACGAAGAGTAGCCCCTGCTCCCTACCACTGGAGAAAGCCAGAGCAAAGCAACAAAGACCCAGTGCAGCCCAAAATAAATCAATAAATAAGTCTTAAAAAAAAATAAATTCTTAAAGCCCCAGTCTTCCCATCTGCAAACTTGCATAAACACACACCCCATCAAGTTACTTTGAGATGCACACGAATAAAGACATCTGGGTTTCTGTCTGACTAGTTCTCAGTGCTCAGACCCCTTGCTTCCTCTCTGTGTCCCCAAGTCAGCAGTGAGGATGCCTACCTCTGTGGGCCTCTGTCTTATCCTCAAGCTGTCTACAGCTATACTTGGGAGCAAGGACAGAAAGTAAGCTCTGACTGATGGTACCTCGCTGGTGATACCTGTCACCTTCTGGGCTCTGGCCTTTGCCTGTCCAGATAGGTTGTTGCATCTTCCTTCTAAGGACCACAGGCTCTGCTTCCTCAGGGCCAGCTCTCCCGTCCTGCTACCCACATTCTGCCTACAGCCAGGGCTGCTGTCAGCCCATTCAATGCCTTTGTGAGAATTACAAGAAGTAGTTTCTCTGAAAAAGGGTATGATCTGGCAATTGGGCCACAGGCCAGATTTCAGCCTCCATCTCCGATTTGGCCATGTGCCCTTTGCACAGTGCACATCCTGTGCAACTGTATATGGCACCCCTGCTGGCAGCACTCAGGAACATCTAAGAAGAGTGTCAATAGATTTATAAACTAACAACTAACTGTGATCATTAGTCCAAGTTTATAATCAAACAGCATGACTAATAAAGAAGGTGTCCCAAGTCCTTAATACTTATTTAATAATCATTTGTTGAGAGCCTTTGAAGCAATGGGCATACCCGGACCTGAATTTGATCCCTAAGGGACATGGTATCTAGGAGAGAGACAGTGCATAGGTGCAGAGTCTCACTCCTGGACCAGTCCGGACTTGACCCTGGAGTCAAGGGCAGGGAGGTCCACCTGGGCCTGGAACCCAGGAAGGAGTGAGTGGCTCTGAGCAAGGGAGCAGCTCTCTCACTCCTTCACTGGGCCTTCCTGCCAGGTGGCCTTTGCTCCAAGTTCAGTCTAGTAGAGAAACTCAGCTTTCCTGCTTCGAAGTCCCCCAGCTGGTTCATTTTCTTTCTTTGGGAGGCTGAGTCTGAATCCCGATGGCTCAGCCCAGCTGCCCCCTGGAGGTGAGCCGCTGCAGTTTGGGAGCGGACACCACACTCACTGTACAACTTGGCAAATGCAACGATGTCAGAGGCATGACATATAGAACTTGTGCAGGTTTGCAGATGAGGGAGTTCTGCCTGATGCCTGTTCCTGGAACAAAATCACCTTTTGTATAGTATTAATGTAAAAGTTTCATTTAAAAGACACCAGCTGTGGTGCTACCCAGGTTTATTCATATGGGACCTTCACTGGGTCAACTTAATACTTAACTACTGCTTATTATCCCATCAGTCTTCAGGGACAACCCATGATCTAATTGCCCAGCATTTATGTTGCTTGGTAACCACAAATAGAGAATAATAGTCCTTAAAGGGGCAGTGTGGAATTTCATGCCCCTGCAGTGAAGTACACTTCATTTCCCAGAGCACCCTGTGTTTTTTAATTCAGTGAATAAAAATGTGTAATGAATAATTAATTATGTGCTTGGAGGCACAATAGCTGCCTACTTTTGAATATTCATCAGTGGCATTATTAATTCACTAGAAATCCCAGGGAGAGATGGGATAGGCTTTTAGCTTAGCTGGAGGACTTAAAGATAATGTTTTGCAGCATGGACAAACTTTTTCAGAGCTGAGTTTTCTTTAGGAGACGCTTTCTGGGTAATTTTCCTCTTTTAAGAATGTTTTGCTCTGGCCTGGATTCCTGCAGAGGTGGTGGGGGATGCAGAAACCACTAGTGACCATGACAAAGGCCCACTCTGGACCTCCTGCCTGAAAAGTTCATTAATAATCAGCCCTGCTGGTCCCAGGTAGTCCAGAGTGTGCTCACGGGGGCGATGGGCCCGGCGTGCGATGAGAATGAAAGCAGAGAGGCTCTTCCAACAGCCTTTCGCTTTCCCACGAGGATGATGGTCTCTCCCTCCTCAGCTGTGGAAGGACTGATCTGTCCACAACAGGTTCTGGGCGGCTTGCATGGCTCCCAAGCATGAGTCTGTGTCAGAGTCAGGGCTGGAATCCTGCCCTCTAGGCCTCCTCTTCCAGTTCTCCTAAACACAGCTCTTGATGGGCATCCCAATGAGGGGTCCTACATTGTTTCCTTCTGCAGCTTTCTGACATCTTCCGTGAGGGTATAACTCCTGATCCCACTTCCTCATGTAGCCTTCGGAATCTTCTTGCAGCTGGGATTACTGGCTGCCTATCCTGCACCTGGTTCCCTGCTTCTTCCTTACAAATGTGACCTCTGCATCCTGAAAGCGACACCTCTCTGCCTCCCTTGCAGCTAGACGTGGTCATGTGACTAGGTTCCAGCCAATGATATGATACCTGCAGAAGTTGCTAGGCAGAGCTTCTGGGAGCGTTCTTCAAAGGAGGTGGCAAGAGGGGGTCTGTTTGTCCTTCTGCCTTGCTTCTCTCCTCCAGGCTGCAGTGTAGGTGAGATGGTTGAAGGGCCAGCAGCATCTTGGGCCATGAGGTAACCCTGAGGATGGACATAGTGTGCTTGGAGGTAGAATAGGAAAACTAGAAGGAGTCTGGATCCCTGATAACCATGGCACTGCCTTACCAGCCGAGTTGCCTCCTTCCTATCTTCTTTAGCAGGAGAGAAATGAATCTCTGACTTGTTTAATCTGAATTGTTTTGGGCCTCCTGTTGTGCACTGCTCAACCAAATCTTTATCTGGTTCCCCTGTTCAGAATCCTGTCGTAGTTCCTGCATTCTTTGTAGATTTCTTAGCTTTTGCTCTTTCTGACAGCTGTGCAATTTCTTTCAAAAGTTAAAACTCTTGCTGCTGCTGCTGCTAAGTCGCTTCAGTCATGAATGATAAGATACAGCCCATATAACCCAAGCAGAAATAGGTGTTTGAAAGCAGTGTTTTTGTCAGGAGGGCTACAGACCCACTGTATTTTCTTCTTGGAACCTCAGACTCTTGACTGGAAAAGGTAGGGGGGTCTAGCCATCTCTCTGTAACTGTGGTTTGGGGAAGTTCTTTCATTTGGAACTTCTCTCAATGAAAGCATTATTCCAACTTGGTCGAACTCATGCTCTGAAATGAGAACTTCCACAGTTCACCATGACTAAGATGCTATTAAATATAAGGTACACTATTATTTTATGTACCACCATGGGAGACAAAGGCAGGGCTTCCTTGGTGGCTCAGATGGCAAATATGAGTGCAATCCGGGAGACCAGGGTTTGAACCCTGGGTCAGGAAGATGCCCTGGAGAAGAGAATGGCAACCTTCTCCAGTACTATTGCCTGGAGAATTTCATGGACAGACAGGAACCTGGCAGGTTCCATGGGGTACAAAAGAGTTGGAAATGACTGAGTGACTAACATGGAAGAAAAAAAAATTCTACCATTTATAATTGTAAGATATTAATATGCCCCGATTTCAGAAATGCGAGATGTGAAAAATGTGCTTTGAGAATCAATGCAATAGGGTACATATCGCTAACCACACAGCTAACTTAAGCATAATTACGTACAACGGCTACTCCATGGAATTCTGATAATAACTTCCATTCTTGCCAAGAAGTAGGTGAGTCCTTTTTGGATCCCAAGCAGTTTTTGTTCCACAATGAAAATATCAGGAAGGAGAGCCATTTTTTGGAGTTAGACCTTTATTTCTATTTGTAAAACATATCTGTGTCTCCATATGTGGGGATCTGCGAAGTTTCATCTCAGTGCTAGTTCTCCCTCACTGGTAGCCCTGGAGGAGGTCTGCCCCCTCCACCCTGCCCAGGAGAAAGCATGGGGCTGGTCATGCAGTAGAAGATGTGGATTTCCTACATCTTGGTCACCCTCTTTCCTCCTGCTCTTGGCTTCTAGGATCCGTCTGTGGATGCTGGGTGTCTGTACCTGCATTTTGGTGACAGGAGGGGTTTCCCTGTCTCTCTGTATCAATTACCGTCAATGCTCTGTTTCCAGCCTTCAGACAGTTTTCCACATCAAGTGCCTGAGCCTCTCTTTTTCTTTTCCTTTGGCTTCTCCATCATCTTGGAAGTGGCTACACCTCCTCAACAAGAGGTTTCTAGATGCTTCAGGTTCTCCACCCTCGATGCCTGCCCATCTGGTTTCTCGGAGGTCCCCAGCAGGATTCAGCCCCTACCAGCCACCCCTAGCACTGGGCTTCCCCCTTCCCTACTCCCTTCTTGGGCATCTCAGATCACTTCCCAAGTAGTAAACTCTCTGCACCAAAGTTCTTATCGGGATTGCTTGGGGGAGAAACTCTGTGTATCAGAAGGAGCAACCTCCTGATTGGAGACTGGACTGGAAATGGTTTCTTCCAATAGACGAGAAAGTGGACACCATATTAAAAAAAAAAACCTCCCTTGTGGCTGCAGCTTTGGGGTTGTGGTTGAGACAGTCACGGTCCCAAATGAGTTGCACCTCCAGAGACCCACGCTTTTGTGTGGTCTGCTCCCCCACGGACTCCGGTCTGGGCAGTAGGACTTGCTGTCGCCAGTAAAACATCAACGAATACAATGCAAGTAGAGACAAAACAGCCTTGTGCAGCTGAGGCTGCCCTTCTGGAATATTCCTGTTGTCCACAGGGTCGCAAAAGAGTTGGACATGAAAAACTTAGCGACTTAACAAAAACGAACGGCTATGAAGACCTCAAGCCCATGCTGCCCTTGAACCCCCAAGCCAATGATGCACGTAAGTGCCCGCTCCATTCCCCCTGTTCCCAGGGCTTCCGTTGCATCCCTTCCCTTCCTCCGTGGCCTCTGGACAGGGTCACGCTCTAGGGGACATCTCACCTGCCAGCCTGCCAAAGCGACACCCAAATGAAGCAGTCTGCACGCTACTGCCACCTCGTGGCCATTCCCCCCATCACCCCTGGAGTCCCTGGAACTCACTGCAGCCGGGGCACAAGACCAGAATGACCTCAGGAGGGCTGAAGCCCACAAGATCGTTGGTCGGTGGGCAGTGTCCACCCCCGGGAGTCGTGGGGGCTGAGAGCCGGTGAAGGCAGGGCACCGGGGCGGGGGAGTGGCCCACAGCAGGGTGGCTGAGATGGATGCTGGCTGGGACGGGGGAGGGGGAAGCTCCTGGAGTCACATAGGAAAGGAGAAGAAGGGTAATTGGTTTTCTCAAGAGTTTCTAGGGATTGTGTTCTTGTTTGGACTTCACTGTTCTCAATGGGATATTGTTCTGGCACCGGACCCTTTAGGCTTTGTGTCTGATGTACAATGAATATCCTTCAAATACTCTTTAAAAAAAAAAACTCTCTAATCGAGAAATAAAATTTTCTAGATGTTTCTCTTTCACCAAATTCTTGACTGAGATACAATGTTTTCACTTTGAACAAGTGAGACAGCCACATACATACAGCCATGGCTTAAATGATTTTTTTTTGTCTCAGCAAAGTCATACTTTTATTAAAGTTGGCCAGGAAGTTCTGGTGCATGGATTTAGAACAAGGAAGAGCTTCTTCCATTTTTTCCCTAGCTTGGGTTGAGACCGGAAGTAATATTGACATGGGTACCTTGGATTCCTGGGAGTATAACATTGGCTTAATAATAACTGGAAGAAAGGAGTTACTGCTACATCCCAGACTTATTACCCCCTTATGATTCAAGTAAGGAGTGGAAGAGTCGTGAATAATAAATATGGAGATAAGAGAATGAAACTGGGAAATCAATTTACTGCGAAATATTTGCATATTTTATTAAAGGAAACTGTACAAGACCCATAACAGGGTGGATGATTTCTATTTTGATTTGATTTGGGAGCACTATACCCCTGGGAGGACTTATCTTTCCCATTGGTGTCAACATCTTGTGGTGTGTTAGGGTTCTGAGGGACTTAGATACTCTCTAGTTTTACAGAAATGGAAACTGAGGTCTGTAGTTATTACATGGGTTTGTGGTAGAGCCACAATTCTTCTGGAAGAAATTCCATTGTCCTACACACATAAGGAAAGCGTTAAAATCATAAGTCAGATGAGTGTGTATCTCCACAGTCTTTCACATCTTTACTCAAAGTTAGGAAGGCAACTCTTTATAAAAGCACACATAAGGTTAAGTGAATATCTAGATATGTTTGACATCTATTTGAGAGAGACAAGAGAGAATAAATTTTCATTGTATATACACCCATCATTTCTGCACTACGAACATGTGTACATGCTAAGTTGCTTCAGTTGTGTCTGATTCTTTGTGACCCTATGGACTGTAGCCCATCAGGTTTCTCTATCCTTGGGATTCTCCAGGCAAGAATACTGGAGTGGGTTGCCAGGCCCTCCTCCAGGGAGCGAACTCGAGTCTCTTAACTTCTGCATTGCAGGTGGATTCTTTACCACTAGCACCACCTGGAAAGCAGATATCTTTCTTCAGTGAAATGGTGGGGCACTTGTGGGATATTTCCTCCCTACTTCAGACCCTCTTTGCTATAGGAATAGTGCTTTAAAACTAATGTCCTATTGCTGTCTGATGATACCTGAAGCTTGGGGTGGCTACTCACTTCAGTCTGCGGTGAGAGCCCCTTCCTGTCGGGTCTGTCTGCAGTTCATGACATCCAGAAGACCACAGTTCTGTTTGGTGGCTTCCACTCTGAGCCGATCTTCCCAGGAATCAACTTCTCCCTTTCAGCTGCTGCCTTTGCAGACCCATGGGTCCCCCATGATGGTCAGGAGCTCCCCAGGATTGCCCGCCAGAACCCTCTCCCATTTTCACAGAGCTTCTTCCAAGCTCCCTGCACTGTCTCACCTGCTTCCTCTCTCTGAGGCTGGCTGTGCCTCCTGTTGGTGGGCAGAAACCGTCGGGGTGCGTGTGCAGAGCATGGCTACGGACCGCCTGCTCTCAGCACGGTGCCCGGCGCAGAGCGTGGTTGCCATGTGGCTGAACCGATAGGCACCAGCTCTAGGAGGTGCGGGCCCAGGGGAAGCGGAGCTCAATCGAAACGAGCAAAGGTAGAGTTGCTGTACCTATGGACTGGGGGCAAATGCAGTCATTCACCTGGGAATGCCTTGTTTCAGAATGGGAAGTCTTAGTTGCTTCAGTCGTGTCTGACTCTTTGCGATCCTATGGACTGCAGCCCTCCAGGCTCCTCCGTCCATGGGATTTCCGAGGCAAAAATACTGGAGTGGGTTGCCATCTCCTCCTCCAGGGGATCTTCCTGACCCAGGGATCGAACACGGGCCTCCTGCATTGCAGGCAGATTCTTCACTCTCTGAGCCACCATGGGAAGACAGATTTAAAGCCAGTTCCCTTGTCAACTATCCACATGACTTTTGGAAAATATTCCATCCACTTCATCCCTCCATCCATCCAATCATTCACTTGTTATCACAAAAGCTGACTCTACATGTGGACATCACCAGATGGTCAATACCAAAATCAGATTGATTATATTCTTTGCTGCTGAAGATGGAGAAGCTCTATACAGTCAGCAAAAATAAGACCAGGGGCTGACTGTGGCTCACATCATGAACTCCTTATTGCCAAATACAGACTTAAGTTGAAAAAAGTAGGAAAACCACTAGGCCACTCAAGTATAATTAGTGGAATGACAAATAGATTCAAGGGATTAGATCTGATAGACAGTGCTTGAAGAACTATGGACAGAGGTTCATAATATTGTATGGGAGGTGGTGATCAAAACCATCCCCAAGAAAAAGAAATGCAAAAAGGCAAAATGGTTGTCTGAGGAGGCCTTATAAATAGCTGAGAAAATAAGAGACAAGAAAGGCAAAGGAGAAAAGGAAAGATATATCCGTCTGAATGCAGAGTTCCAAAGAACAGCAAGAAGAGATAAGAAAGTCTTCCTAAGTGAACAATGCAAAGAAATAGAGGAAAACAATAGAATGGGAAAGATTAGAGATCTCTTCAAGAAAATTAGAGATACCAGAGGAACATTTCATGCAAAGATGAGCACAATTAAGGACAGAAACCATATGGACCTAACAGAAGCAGAAGATATTAAGAAGAGGTGGCAAGAATACACAGAAGAATTATACAAAAAAGATCTTCATGAGCCAGATAACCACAATGATGTGATCACTCACCTAGAGCCAGACCAGACATCTTGGAGTGTGAAGTCAAGTGGGCCTTAGGAAGCATCACTATGAACAAAGCTAGTGGAGGTGATGGAATTCCAGCTGAGCTACTTCAAATCCTGAAAGATGATGCTGTGAAAGTGCTGCACTCAATATGCCAGCAAATTGGGAAAACTCAGCAGTGACCACAGGACTGTAAAAGGTCAGCTTTCATTCCAATCCGAGAGAAAGGCAATGCCAAAGAATGTTCAAACTACTGCATAATTGCACCCATTTCACATGCTACCAAAGTAATGCTCAAAATACTCCCAGCTAGGCTTCACAGTATGTGAACCAAGAACTTCGAGATGTAAAAGCTGGATTTAGAAAAGGCAGAGGAACCAGAGATCAAATTGCTGACATCCATTGGATCATAGATAAAGCAAGAGAATTCCAGAAAAACATCTACTTCTGCTTCATTGACTATGCTAAAGGCCTTGACTGTATGGATCACAACAAACTGTGGAAAATTCTTCAACTTGAGATGGGAATACCAGACCCACCTTACCTGCCTCCTGAGAAATCTGTATGCACATCAAAAAGCAACAGTTAGAACTGGACATGGAACAATGGACTGGTCCCAAATTGGGAAAGGAGTACATCAAGACTGTATATTGTCACCCTGTTTATTTAACTTATACGCAGAGTATGTCATGTGAAATGCCAGACTGGATGAAGCACAAGCTGGAATCAAGATTTCCAGGAGAAATATCAATAAACTCAGATATGCAGATGACACCACCCTTATGGCAGAAAGCGAAGATGAACTAAAGAGCCTCCTGATGAAAGTGAAAGAGGAGAGTGAAAGAGCTGGCTTAAACTCAACATTCAAAAAGCAAAGATCATGGCCTCTGGTCCCATGACTTTATGGCAAATAGATGGGGAAACAATGAAAACAGTAAGAGACTTTATTTTCTTGGGCTCCAAAATCACTGCAGATGGTGACTGCAACCATGAAATTAAAAGTTGTTTGCACCTTAGAAGAAAAGCTATGACAAACCTAGACAGTGTATTAAAAAAGTGAGACATTACTTTGCCAACAAAGGTCCGTCTAGTCAAAGCTATGTAGTTATGTTTTCCAGTAGTTATGTATGGATATGAGAGTTGGACCGTTAAGAAGGCTGAGCATGAAAGAATTGACACTTTTGAACTGTGGTGCTGGAGAAGGCTCTTGAGAGTCCCTTGGACTGCAAGGAGATCAAACCAGTCAATCCCAAAGGAAATCAATCCTGAATATTCATTGGAAGGACTGATGCAGAAGCCACCTCATGGGAAGAGCCAACTCATTAGAAAAGACCCTGATGCTGGGAAAGATTGAAGGCAGGAGAAGAAGGGGACGACAGAGGATGAGATGGTTGAACGGCATCACCGACACAGTAGACAAGAGTTTGAGCAAGCTCCGGGAGATGGTGAAGGACAGGGAAGCCTGGCATGCTGCAGTCCACGGGGTCGCAAAGAGTCAAACGTGGCTGAGCCACTGAACAGCGGCAGTCACTCCTCCCCTGCCCCGAGCTGGGTGAGATGCCAGGGCTGAGAACACAGACACAGTTAAGAGGCAAGCCCTGAGACAAGTGCTCGGGCCTGGTGCACTGGGAAGACCCAGAGGAATCGGGTGGAGAGGGAGGCGGGAGGGGGGATCGGGATGGGGAATACATGTAACTCCATGGCTGATTCATGTCAATGTATGACAAAAACCACTACAATATTGTAAAGTAATTAGCCTCCAACTAATAAAAATAAATGAAGAAAAAAAAAAAAGAGGCAAGCTCTGCCTGTGTGATGCCTACAGTCTGATAAAAGCAGGAATACAACAGGAAGAAGACTGAAATGAGGCACTGAGTCGAAGGGAGCGCAGGGGAAGGAGGTTTCATTCCAGCTGCGCCAAGGGTTCAGGGAAGAGGGTGGCCCTGGAGCTGGAGCTGGAAGGATGGATGGGAACGTATCAGGTGAAAAGAGAGGAAGAACAGAATGCTTATGCCCTGCAGGAGGAAGCCAGAGGGAAGGGGACTGCAGAAGGGCCTGAAGAATGGGGATCCTTTGCAAACTCCTACCTACAACAGAAAAGCTGGGGGCGGGGGGAGAATATTCTTTAGCCCAACCAGCCAGTTGCCATGATGATCCTGGGGAATCAGCTGCTGAGCTTGTTGTCATGTTGGGGGTGAGGAGCACTGCCAAGAATTCTGCAATCTATTGGTTACTATCCTTTTGAACTTGAGTCCCTGACTTGGGTCTCAGACCTCCTGGCCCCCTACCATCTGCAGACACAGGGAGTGTCCCCGTGGGAGAGCTGAGGAAATTGGGTCCCAGAGGAGAGCAGGACAGGGGTCGAAAGTCACATACAGCCGTGCGCAGCCAGAATGTTAGTTGGCAATCCTAATAGAAGCATTTAGAGATGAAGAGAAAACAGTGCTGGAGAGAGAATGGAAATCAGAGGGAGGAAGACGTGGGGTTCCATTTCTTAGGAATCTGACTCACACGTGATGCTTAAAGAATGAAGTGAGCATTGGATGCTTCTGCTTCCTGGGGCTGCTCCTCCTCCTTCTACTAATGTGCCTGCTGCCTTCTGGCTGCCGCCTCTCCGCCTTTGTGGGTATTCTGGGAGGGCCTGTCAATCAAAGGGCCCAGGAGCCCATGACCCAGGCTCAACCCATCAGATTCTCTCCAGAAATTCTCATGCAAGTTCTGATCAGTTCAGTCGCTCAGTCGTATCCGACTCTTTGGGACCCCATGGACTGCAGCACGCCAGGCCTCCCTGTCCCTCACCAACTCCCAGAGGTTACTGAAACTCATGTCCATTGAGTCGGTGATGCCATCCAACCATCTCATCCTCTGTTGTCCCCTTCTCCTCCTGCCTTCAATCTTTCCCAGAATCAGGGTCTTTTCAAATGAGTCATTTCTTTAAAAAAAAAAAAAGGAAAGCTGGTGCTGGTTCATCCCAGAAATGACCTTTTGAAGGATGCAGGACAGTCCTCACTACCTGCCTTCCCAGAGCCACCATGGTTCTGTCTCTGTGGGTTTAGTCAAGCTTTCCCTTCACTTTTGTGAATGTGTAGTCTTGAGTGAGCCACTCTGTCTGGCTTAGCCTCCATTTCCTCCTCTGTAAAATGGGATAATAATCCCACCGAGCTGTGCTGTTGTGATGAACCAGTGGGCCAACGCATTCTGCACACTTTGACGTGCCCTCGAAGTTCACCGGGGCATTCGTATCATGACTATGACTCAGGAACAGCTGGTGGTCACTGAAAGCAAAGCACAGGCGTGTCTCAGATGGCCCTAGTGAGAGTGTTAAGGTCTTCCTACCAGCAAGTCCATTTAAAATGTGCTGCAGAGGAAGCCCCTGGGGAACAGACTCTGCTGAATCCATAGTTTTGCATGCTGTTCATTAGAAAGAGTTTCTAAAAATAGGCCCAGGTCAGAGAAGGTGTCCCAGACAGAAGCGTTTTTCAGAGCGTGACCCACATCCCTGTGATCTCGTTCCCCAGGGGCAGCCGGGCTGCCTAGGAGACAGGCCTGGCCCAGTGAGCCTCAGCGATCATTGTCCGCCTCCTGTGAGGCCTGGGAGCCCTTTACCTCCACGTTTGGGCCAGGAAGTCCGACCCGGCACCACATCTAAAGTGCCGAGGCCGAGTGGCTGCCTGGTCCCCTCCAGCCTGCTCTCACACGGCTTCCTTTTTGGACCGTGGTTGCAGCCCTGAGCGTGGATGCGAGGGGCGTGCCTGTGATGCGCCCCAAGATTCTGCGGTTCTTGCCTCTCCTTCAGGCTCCTCGCCTGAGCTTCACAGGCGGCGACCCGCTGCACATTTCTGCGGAAAGGTCCATAAACCCACCGCCCAGGACGAACGCATTCTGCTCCACGCCCACTCGCAAACGCGGCGCCCGCCCCTTCCCCACCTTCTCACCCACCCAGGAGCCCAAGGCTGACATTCGGAGTCCTGCTGACCTTCCTGACCCGCCGCTCTCACCCGCCACCCACACTCCAGCCCTCCAGCAAGTTCTGCAGACATTCATCCTCTAAATATCTCCAGGCTCTGCCCACACTCTTGTCTTCCCTCCCGAAGCTCAGACTGATAAACTGGAAGCCACCTTTCCTTCCTCCCTTCCTCCCTCCCTTCCTTCCTTCCTTCCTTCCTTCCTCTCCCCTTCTTCCCTCTCCCCATCTCCCTTCCATTCTGCCTTCCTTCCTTCCTTTCTTTTTGAAGAGGATGGAAGGGAAAAGCAAGAATAGCAAGTGGGAAGGTGAGGGGCTCTATGATTCGGATCAGGACAGACCCCTAAATCTAACCCATAAAGAGAGAAACAGACGTTCCCACCGACAGTGGACCAAGGCTGCCGCAGGTGCATCTCGTGTCTTTGTGGAAATTAGGAAAACTCGCCCCTTTCTCTGGACAGACACAGCTTTGTCCCAGATCACAGCTTGGCAAGCAGCGTGCTGACCAGATATCAACCTCTGATGGCTGCCTTGTGCAGTAAGCTACCTACACAAACTTGCAGGGCAGACTTGCAAATGAATTGCCTGAAATCCCACAACCAGGATGCTGAGATGGGAACTGAGGACTTTAGTTAGGTTCTGAACTCTTCCTGGTATACTCCTGGGGTTGGTGGGGCCCCTTCTTCTCTCATAAGCTGCAGCAGCATTTCAACAGCAGGTGACAAAACAGCTCCTGCCAGCACCCTGTCCTAGGCATCAGGTCCTCACGGAGTGGACCAGGACTCTCGTGATTAAGAGCAGAGAGTTTCCCAGCACAGAATTATGATAGGTTAGTGCAGTAGTGGTTGAGTAGCAGTAAGGTGCCCTTGGACCAGAGGCATCTCTTCTAGCCCCCAGAATGGTTCTCCCACCGATCACCCATGGAGGCTATGGAGTGCAGGGTGTCTGTGTGTGTGTGTGATTGACACTGACAACTCTCAGGATGTGATGGAGCCCTCCCGCACACAGACAGGGGACTTGGTGTCTACGTGAGCCAACAGGGCCTTCAGAGAGCAGAGGACCCTGGGTCTGTCTTTGAAAGGGAGTTCCATTTCAACCTCATTTTGTGCAAGAGAAGGTAAGCTGTGTGCCTGGTGAATATTACCAAATCAAGGGAACTTTAAATTGATTTATCTATATATTCTATCTATCTATAAAATCAAGGGATTGAGATAGAGGATGAGATGGTTATAGAGGATATGAGATGAGATAGAGGGTGAGTTAGCATCAGTGAACATGAATTTGAGCAAACTCCGGGAGACAGTGAAGGACAGGGTAGTCTGGCGTGTTGCAGTCCATGGGGTCACAAAGAGTCAGACACAACTCAGCGACTGAACAATCACAACAATCAAGGGATATTTATTTTTTTAATTTTTTTTTCAAGGGATATTTTAAAAGCACTAGAAGGGCTGGCTTTGTCAAGCAGACAACCAACAAGTGTCCCTCAAGTTTCCTGAGCTGGTCTGAACCTGGCTGAGTCCGAAGCCTACCTTCTTATCCACCTCACTCTTTCTGGAACTGAATAAATGACTGGCTCAGACAACCTCTGAAGGTCTTCTTTGCACAGGGCACTGCATTCGTGTTCTCTTATCAAGTGATTTGACAACTCCATGAAGCAGTGGTACACCGTCATCCTCTCCACTTTGTTGACAGGTAAACTGACATTCTGAAAGGGTAATTGGTCCGGGCTCACTGTTCGCCAGATGTCCTGAGGGCTCATCCTATTTGATCCTCCATTTCTGCAGCTAAAGAATGGGGGAGATAACACCCCTCAAGGCAACTTTACAAGTCATTGGGATAGCAAATAGGAAAGTAGTAGAAAATATGCTTTGAAAGTGCATCAGTGATATGCAAATAGGAGGCATAGCCAATTGATGGCAGCACTGGGAAGCCCCAACAGGCCAGAGTAGTCAAGTCCTGCAATAAAATCTATCCCCCTAAAATTTTAGTCCCCCCTAAAATCTATCTATATGCTTGGAGGCCAGAGAGCACCTTCCAATAGCCCAACGAACCTGGTGTGAGGAAACCCATTTCCGCAGGGCTATTTTTCCAACTCACTTCCTTATACCCCATGACCTGGAGGCATCCCCAGTAGCTCTCAAAGCAATCTGGAAACGCAGACAGTGGTGTCCTGTCTTCTGATTCATTTTCTCTATTTCCAATTTCTTTTGTGCCGTGGTAATGATTCACAGTGAAAGGAATCAATCTACTCAAAAAAGAAAAAGGGCTGTTCTTTCTGATTGTACACTGGGCAAGCATTAGGTTTCCACCTGCTTCTCTGTGGTGGCCAGGACGTTTCAGTGGAGTTCAGAATCGTTCCTATTTTCCTTCTCAAACTCCTGACATCAAGAGTAGATGCTACCTTGATCCATCCAGCACTGCTGTGACGCTGGAGATCAGGGGCTGTGGCTTGTGAGGCCAGAGACCTGGTCCCTCTCTGTCACTAACTGGGTGTTTGACTTAGATGAGGGGCAGTTTTGCCCTCAGGGGACGATTGGCAATGTCTGGAGATATTTATGGTTGTCATGACTGACACAATGTTCCTGGCACCTGGTAGGTGGGGGCCAGGGGTGCTGCTAAGCCTCCTACAACGCACAGACCCTCCCCTGTCCCGTCTTGCCAAAGGCTTATCTGGATCCAAATATCAGCGATGCCCAGGTTGAGAAAGTCCCTAGAGGAAGCCCTCTTGCTTGCTGGCCCAGAGTTTCTCCTGGGAACTTGGAGGGGGAGAAGTTACACTGGTGACACCCAAGGTCCCCCAAAGCTTCTGATTTAATTGTGTCTCTGGGTCGGGAGTGACTCAGAAGGTTCTGCATCACTGACTTCCTGCCCCTGTGACATCAGCACCCCGTTATAGCATCTCTGATGCCAGGGCGCCCACGTGATGCGACCTTTAGCTGGGGGACACCAGCAGGAGGCTCTTTGTGGCGACAGCCACCAGGAAATGCCACCCGGGAAGGCAGGCAGACACTCTCAGCCCCCCAAAACGCTTGTTTGTTTGCTTGCTCATCTCCTCCTTAAATAGGGCACCATGGCTCACTGAATCTTCTTAGCAGGCTCTCACTTGGACACTTGAGTCCAGCAACTTGCCCAAACTCTCCAGAGAGTTCCAGCTTCGTTTGGTTTCTAAAGATGAGTCTGAGCCAATGAAGAGAGCCTAGCAGTTGGTATTTGATTTCAGAGTGTCTGTTCCCTCTGACTTCTCATTTTGTCCACTAAAGGGTTTCATCAGACCCCACCTGGGCAGACCCCCACCACACCCTGTCCCTCATCTTCTCCTTTGCTCTTCCTTACCTGCGTTTGAGTCAGATGCCTGGTGGGACTTGTGTCCTGACTCCACCACTTCTTAGCCTTGTGATGTGGTGGCCATGGAGACGCCCTGCCCTGGGCTCCTTTCCAGAAAACCTGCCGTGGGCAGGGCAGTAGGCAGACAGTCTCTGGTGTCTGCGCCTGTAGGCATGTCCTGCCCTGACTGTTCCCAGCCAGTGACTGCGTTCAGTGGGGCGGTGGAGCTGGATCGCTGCTGCCCGAGTGGACGCCTCTTACAAGCAGTCCATGCTCTGAGATCCACCAGCCTGGCTGAGGCTTGTTCAGGGTCTCCCTGTTGTCCCTACTCCTTCTCTCATCTTCCTCCCACCCCTCCTAGATGACCCGCATCTCAGTCTGAAGGCTCTCTCCGCCTACTCCTGCTCCCTATCCCCTTCATCCTTCCCTGCGTCTTGTTTTTAAAAATTATGTATTTACTTGGCTGTACTGGATCTTCATTCGGCATATGCACTCTGCTTGTGGCACACAGGCTCTAGAGCACAGGATTAGTAGTTGTGGCACATGAACTTGTTTATCCCAAAGCGTGTGGGATCTTAGTTCCCTAACCAGGGATTGAACCTATGTCCCATGCATCGAGAGGCGGATTCTTAACCACTGGATGGCCAGGGAGATTCCCCGCCTCTGCTTCTTGAAGGACCTGAACTGGCAGATCTGAGCAAGTCAGTGAACACCCCTGAGTCTCAGTTTCCTGGCCAGTAAAACAGAGGGATGTTATCAGTAACTCACCAGGTTATTGTAAGGAATAAATGACAAAGTACGTGTATAACTTTGTACACCATATAGCGGTGCAAATACTGGGTTGGTGCAAATATGTGCTCACTTGCTAAACTGTGTCTGACTCTTTGTGACCCCATGGACTGTAGCCCACCAAGCTTCTTTGTCCATGGGAATTTCCAGGCAAGAATACTGGAGTGGGTTGCCATTTCTTCCTCTAGGGGATCTTCCCAACCTGGGGATCGAACCCACATCACTTGCATCTTCTGCATTGGCAGGTGGAGTCTTTACCACTAGTGCCACCTGGAAAGTCCTGGTGCAAATATAACGCCCCCATTGTTCCATCAAAACTTGCTGATCTTATGTCTCATTTCCTTAGAGTCCCTTGCAGGTCAGGCCCAGATAAGCAAGGTTGCTATTGATGTTTTAATTGGAACTATTCTTTGTCAGGTGGGATCACATCCTATCTACTATCAAAATCCATTTGCGAAGTGCCAGCAGTCTTCCCCCGCCTCCATAACTACGACCACCAACAATGACCTTGTATCATTTCCACATGTCTGCTCTGGGGACTACCTGGTCCTTGGGTGAGAATCACTGTGCCAAAATGTGTCCAGCTGAGATGTTAGTGGGTCCTTCTTCCTCCCAAAACATTTACACTCCAACTCAGTCCTTTAAGGATGAGTGCCTGAAGTCTCTCATTTTTTGTTCTGTAATATCTACATAGTTCTGTAGACTGCCTGACTCCTCTATTGAATGAGATGGCAAAAGAAGAAAATTAGTGAAATTGTAAGTCTATCTTCTGATGCTGTTCTGATGTTCAGATTGCCCCCATATGAAGCTGCCTTCTTCCTCAGCCAGAATTCCTATCCCAGCCACTGGCAGCTGCTACGGCTGGTAATGAAGTTCGTTGTCCAGAGTTTTTTTTTTTACTGCCCACTTGGAAAGGCTTCCAAGTGATTACCTTCTCTGACATCTTTTAAAATTATTTATTTATTTATTTGTGT